ATAATTATCATTGTCTACCACTTTTTTGTCTTGATTTAAACATCCATATTTACTTACAAAACTCTCATTATAAAGTGCATATTATAACTGTTATAAGGAACTGGTAGCTAGGAATTATTCACTTCTTCTGAATAATCTGAAACGTGTTCTGAATGATCCATATTTCACTAGAAAATATGGATCAGAACATTTCCACTAGTTATTCATTTAAAAAATTTTCCTCTATTTTGGAAAAATTTATGATCTTTTTTTAATAATAATAGAATTTTTAGAGAATTACGGTTAATTTAGGTAAGAGTTTGCTAATTTTTGTGATTTATAAAAATTTTCCTCTATTTTGGAAAAATGTATGATCTTTTTTAATAATAATAGAATTTTTAGAGAATTATGGTTAATTTAGGTAAGATTTTGCAAATTTTTGTGATTTATGCCGATGAACGAATTTCTCTGAGAGTGTAGTTGAAAATCGTAATTTTAGATTTTTTATTGTAGCGCAATAAGAGACAACATGAAAATAAAAGAAAAATTCTTTTTGCTATTCCCAGAAAAAATAAAATACTTAAAAATAAAATGATTAGTTTTCTCAGGGGCGTGCCAACCTTCTTCAGATAGAAGAATTAAATTTTTTTTTCCATCATGTAGTGCATTAATAAGAAAAACACGTTTTAAAAATTAATTTTACCTGAAATCAGGGGTATTAACTAAAAGTAGTTTTATGGGTAGATGGAATTAAAAAAAAGCATTGTGTTTGACCTCTTCTTTAAAATTTTATAAAAGATTTTGCATTTATTCCAAAAATAAGAGCCAAAAACTTTTAAGAAATCTGCATTAAATGAAACTAATGCATAATAAACAATGTATAAATATATGCATAAAACTAATGTATATTTATGCATTTTATAACTGATACGCTTTTTTTTCGAGTATCCGAATATCATACCTGGAATCAACTGGAAATCAGAATATGATGAGCATTAATAATCTTGAAAAGACAAAATTCTTTAAAATTTAAGCGTAAACTATATCCATTTTAACACTCTTTAGATGAAGCGCAGGGACAAAATTTGTGTATCTTTCTGAGGTACTATCCTTTAATTTATTAATTAATTTAATTTTAGTTGCAATTTCAAAATTCCAAATATACTAATGTGTATGTAAATTTTCATTATAGCTCACTTTTCTGTTGTTCATGCTAAATAATATAACTCAATTATTAAAACTTATTCAAATTGAAATCAAAGATTTTGTTTCAATGCTTTTTTTTTCTTTTAATTTTCATAACATTTTCTTTGGCTAACTATTTATTCCACATATACATATTAGCAATCATCGTTTATTATCGGATAATGGTTATCATATAACATGGATAATAATACGGCAGTAATTTGAGGGCCGTAGGCCATTACTCTGTTTACGGCACTTGCAAGTGTGCGCAAGCTTGCATTGCGTTCTCTTACACTGTAAAAAAACTTCGGATCAAATTACGTAAGAAGTTTTACTGTAAATTCCTTTTTTGCCGTAAAATTTTGCAGAACAAATAATTCTATTATATCGTAATTTTTATATATACTGTAAGAACAGTAAAATCACTGACTCACTGTTATGGATTAAATATCACAGTAAAAATTACTGTAGAAAATTTTAGTTTAAAAATGTATTTTACGATAAAATAGATTTTACGGATGATGCACCCAGGGTTCCAGTATTTTTTACCGAAATTTTTTACCGCATAAGCTGATTGCTTTTAAGATTAAAGTCCGTATCCCGGTTATACACTTGCTCAATATTCCTTAAACTGAAGTTTTCCTTGTTGGTATTTTACATTTAACTAAAACAAATAATTGTATCTAATTAATTACATAGCTAAACTGTATTTCTTAAAAAAAGAAAAAGAAAAGGGAAAAAAACGTTGGAAAAAAACTGACAGTTTTTTAAAAGCTTTATTTATGTATTCATTTCAGTTTTGAAACATATTTAAGAAAGTGAAAAATCTGAACCAGGTAAAATGTTGAAAAAAAAAATCAGAATCGAGCGAGAAAGAGAATGCTAGAGTTGTTTTTAAACAGAATCCCCAAAGGAGATTAAAAAATGCCTTATAAAAAACTGAAGAAGTTTGTTGAAAAAAATTGTCTTGAGGGAATTTTAAAACTTCATAACTCATTCAGGCGTTTGATTAAAAAAAATATTCGCGCTATTATTCTTACAAAGTCATATTTTGTTACACATAAAATTTAGCGTAAGCGTAAATCATGAAGTAATTCTTCATGTTTTGAATTATAATTATTGAAACAACATGTTTGAATTATGTATTTTATTTCGATATCGTATCATATTTTTCAACTTATATTTTGTCGTATGATTTTATTTACTTCCGATATTATGTCTTATTTTACAATGTAGATTTTTTATGATTTTTCTTTACGTTCATTATTATATCTTATGTTTTTTTTTTTTTGTGTAAATTTTTTTCTATAATATTTATCTGCTTCCAATATTGTATCTTATGATTTTCTGACGGCAAGTTATGTTCTAATAAATTTAATAAAACAGTAATTATTAAAATAGTAAGTTTGAATTATGTAGTATATTTCGATTTTGTATCAAATTTTCCAACTTATATTTTATATTATGATTTTTATTTACTTCCGATATTATGTCTTATTTTCAAGTATAGATTTCTTATGATTTTTGCTTACGTACGTTATTATATCTTACGATTTTTTTGTGTATATTTTTTTCTATAATTTTAATCTGCTTCCGATACTGTATTTTATAATTTTCTTACGGCAAGTAATGTTCCAACAAATTTTCATTAACATTTGATAAAAAAAAAACTTGGTTTGAACATGAAAAATTTAACCTCTTTTATTTTATTTCTTTTTATTCCAGTTCTAACGATGTTTAAATAAAAAAAAATATGTTTGTTGCGTTTGACTAATTAATTTATACAAAAGCAAATGAGAATTTTCTACAAAAGGCTTATAAAAAATGTGAATTTTCTTAAATGTGTATGTGATTAAAGTTGGCAAAACATAATTCACCCATAACATCCTTCTCACTTAAGGAGGTCGAATTTAGATTATTACGGTTCGCATTAGTCAGAATTCAAATATTTCGTTATAGAAAAAACTTAACTGCGCACCAGCTATATTTACTCTGTCAACCATCAAAATTAATTTAAGTCTGAACCATCAAAATATGGTGGGAGTTGCTGCAATAAAGAATATATAATAGCGATTGATATTAAATTGGTTCCTAATGGTCGTGTTTTAGGTTCTAAAAGAGCTATGCCATTAATATTAAAGTGCACTTCTATGAAAAAATTTCTATAATAATTATTTTTTATGCGCATATTTTATTTGAATGAAAATAAAGTACTCCCTCAACAGTTTTGCTGATACAATTTTCAGACTCCCCGCATGATGTTGGTAATGATTTCAGCATTGCTCACCGACCACCTTTACCTTCCAAGCCTGTTGTGGCTCTAAACTGCCACTAGGAATCAAACTCCTGTTCAATTAAAAAAGAAAAAAGGAACTCAGTTTCTTAATTACCATGCCAGTATGACTCTGACTCCTTTATTTGAGTAATAAAAACAATAATGTTAGTGCTGGGATTGATTGTTTTGCTCTTAGGTTTACGCTCTTTCGTTGTTTTACTCTTATATAAAATTTTTAAAATTTCATAATTCCAATTTATGATACTGACTTTCAAAAACTATTCTAACCTATTAAATAGGTAATATAATTTAAATGAAAACTTTATTTTTTTCTCTTTGATTAATCCATTACTCTTATGTTAAGATTCTTATGTTTACGCTCTTTCATTGTTTTACTCCTATAGAAAATTTTTAATTAAAAAAATTTCATAATTCCAATTTATGATACTGACTTTCTCAAGTTATATACAATCTAAATGAAAAATTAATTTTTTTCTCTTTGATTAATCCACTGCTCTTATGTTTATGCTTTTTGATTGTTTTACTCCTATAGAAATTTTTTTAGTTAAAAACAAATTTCATAATTCCAATTTATGATACTGACTTTCTCAAACTATACTAACCTATTAAACAGGTCATATAATCGAAATGAAAAGTTTATTTTTTCTCTTTGATTAATCTATTGCATTAGATATAAAAAAGCTGTAAAAACTGCATAATGATGAATTATGAAATTAATTATTTCAAACATTCAGTTCTATAAAAACACCTTTGACTAATAGGTGCATACCATGCAAGTCATTATATACATCACCCGTCTTATTTAATTAAGTAAAATAAGTAATTAATTCGGATCTAATATTTAAAATTTAATGCTAGGTAAAATGGATACATTAGCATTGTACATAAGCTTAGTACAATGCAAAATCATAGTTTTGTAAAATCATATTATACTTTTTTAGTCAAAAAAAAAAAAAATGCTTGTATGACCCTACATAAAGTACTGATATGAACACTAAGGTAAAATTGATTCCTTTATCGGTTATATGATTTAGGTTTCTTTCTCTTAACCATCAAAAATTGCAATTTCAAAACTATGGTCCCAATAGTTTTTCCTAGAAAACAATGAAAGAATTTTGCACTTAATGCAAGTTTCACTTCCTGCTTACTTCGTCTATCTTGGGTGAAAACTTTTTCACTCAAACTTGTTTTTCTAAAGAGTATTTATGTAGAAAAGAAAATTATTATTATTATGTTTAATAAGGATTAAAAAAAACTTGAAACAAAAGCTTCAATACAAATTTTTATGTGATTCGAAACTAGATAATTTTAAATAACAAAATACCGAGTTTGAACTAAATCGGTCAAGAAGTTTTGAAAAAGAAAATTAAAATACGACTGAAAATTTGTAAATAAATTCGCATTATAATTAACCATCGTGAACTAAATTTAAATTCCTTGGTGGGCCAAGCGACGGTTAGAAAAAAAAATTCCTATAGAACGTCTTTTTTTTTCACATTCATTTTTTTCACACATATTTATTTATATATTTTTATTACAGATCCCTGATTTGTGTGGACACAAGATGCAGGAAGATGTCAAGGAGCGGAATTATGGAAATATGGAGCGGTTAATGGAAGACGAGAACAATCTTTTACAACAAAATCGACAAAACGAGTTTTTTTTTCAGTTTTTGATGCCTTTAACAAAATAGCTGACTTAGTTATGATGCATAACGTTATTGTTAGTAGGTAAGTAGCAGCGTTCGTAAATATAATTTTGTACTTCCTCAGTAACACTGTTTTCAAATAAATGTTTTATTTCATAGTTCAGAACATGTATTCCTAATTTATAAATTGATTAATTTTTAACAGGCTGACCGTAATTAGGAATCTGATTTTGTCGCTGGAAAAATGGAGTTAAAATTTGAGGAAATAAGCTAATCTGAGTGCTCTTAAAATAGTTTGAAATCTGATATACAAATAAAAACAACTTGTAACAGCTGCAATTAGAGAGAATAATAGTGAATTCATTTTAGAACAAATCGTTTCAAAATGTATTAACAGTGAGGGGAAGAAAGAAAAAAAAACGGATTACCCTGAATAACTATTGGTCATTAGACCAATAGTTATTAGATCAGATCTTCACTCTCTAGGACTCAATCTTAAGGACTGAAGGGGATGACCTTAAATAATATAATTGATAAGGGCAGACGATATTTTGAGTTACGAAATCCGATACAAAAACTGACTTTCTCTAAATGAACATAACTTTTTTTCGACCGATTCAGATTTCTGACCCCCTAAAACATAGGGGGTAGCGGCAAACTGGAAATTATAGTCCCAATACTTTGTTCAGGAGAGTGCTCCAAAGTTAGGACCCCTTAATGTTAGTTTCACTTTTTGCGTATTTAGCTATATCTCGAGAACTTTTAAATGAAATTTAAAAAATTTTTACACACAATTATAAAACTCCTTCATTCAAAGATAATTCCATGCAAAAAACAAAAAACAAAAAACAAACGTTATCATATGAGTCGCTCAGAAGCCAATGCGGTTAAGTCCAAAACACAACAATTGAGTTTGATACATTAGTTTTTAAAATTCTTGGTTTATTAATTTAATTAGAAAAGTGTAAAAAGTCTTTTTTCGAGGTGTAAACTCTGCAAAAAAACAAGATATGTACAGGATGTGTAAATAAAAACGTAAGTATTGATTGAAATAATGACAGCATCTTAAAAATTTTAGGACTTATACCTTTTGGCAGCTGAAAAAGATAAGAAATTTATGTCTACTAGTATAAACGAACTTTTATTTTTCTCAATCATCACCAGATACAGTGACTAATAGAAAATAAACTGTTGGATTATTTCAAAAATTGTTTCTTACTTCAAAACTAGAGTGGCACTTTTCTTTTTTCTTTTTTTTCTTAGAGTGGTTTTAGGAAATGAAAATAAAAAAAAAATTTAAAAAAAATACCACATTTTAAAAAAAATACTACGAAAAATACCATACCCCTTTTTTCGGTGAAAAAATACTACCGTAGTATTAAAAATACTACGTCTGGTAACCCTGAGTTACTATGAATTTCTTGTTTTTCAGTGTTACCAACAAATATCGAAAGAAGAAGAAGAATTTAATTTTTATTTCAAAGTTTATGTAAAAAAATATTGATAAAAGGTGGACTTATTCACAATGGCTTCTGAAATTATTATACAATATATTCAGAAGCTATTAAAAAAAGGGCTGTCTAACCTAGAAAAAAGTAACCAACGAGTAAATCCTTTAATAGCTAAGAGGATTATTATTTATTTCATCAAAATTTCCAAAAATCAGAAAATATCAAAAAATGGACTTAACCGCATTGGCTTCTGAGCGGCTCATATATGTATCATTTTAATCATTTTGAAGAATATAATTTTACAAGGCAAATATCTTTAAAATGATGCATAAAATTTCACACCTTACAATTCAAAATTTTTTCGATTATTATTAAATAAAATAATTAAAAAAAATATTTACTGAAATAAATTTTCCTTTCGTGGAATTATGTTAGGACAAACGCGTTTTATGATTGTATGTAAAAAAATTTCAATTCGCTTAAAAAATTCTTGAGATATGGCGAAATACGCGAAAAGTAAAATTAACAATAAGGGGTCCAAGCTTTGAACCGCTCTCCTGACAGAACTATGGGAACCATATTTATTAGATTACGGCATATATTAGGAGTTAGAAATCCGAATCAGTAAAAAAAAAAGACATGGTTATTCAAAGAAAGTACGTTTTTGTGTCTGATTTTGTAACTTAAAATATATCCTGCTTTTACTAATTAGCATATTTGAGATCATCCCCTTGAAATATTAAGATTGAGTCCTAGAACGTGAAGATCTGATCATTAGATCAAAAGTAATTCAGGGTGGTCCGTTTATTTTTTAGGCGCACTATGCGTCCTCATGCAATAGGCCGCAAAAAACGGTAAAAAAGTAATAGTTAAAGTATTTATGACTGGAAATTATTTTTAACTATTTTTAAATATTATTCATTGTAAAAAATTATAAATAATTCGCAAACTGTCCAATTCTATGTTAGCGATATACAGTTTGTTTCGAATTAAACAAACCTTTTTCAAAAAATTTCTATTACTATTTTTTAGCATATCTTTATATTTTCCTTTATATTAACGCCCGCTTTTTAATGTAAAATAAATTCAAAGCGATTTCCTCATTGCAAATAATTAAGAACAAAAAATCGCTATCTGACACTCTCCATGTCAGCGGCATATGTGCTCTCAGAGTAGCTTGCTTCGGACTAAACAAACCTTTTTTTAAAAACTTTCCATTTATATTTCTTGGTATATCTTTGTAATTTCTTTCAAATTGGCTCTCACTTTTTAATATAAAACAAGTTTCAAAAGATTTCCTCATTGTAAATAACGATGAAAAATTCTCAAACTGTCAGCCCTTATGATAGTGATATATTTGCCATCATTGAATTTTATTCGGACTAAACGAACCTTATTTAAAAAAAATGTATTAAAATTTCTAGGTATATTTTTGAATTTTCATTCAAATTGAAGCAAACTTTGCCTATAACAAGTTTTAAACGATTATCTAATTTCAAATAATTATAAAAAATTCGCAAACTGTCCGCTTCTATCTTAGCGATATACATTCTCTCAGAGTAGCTTGCTTCGGACTATACAAACCTTTTTTAAAAGCTGTCAATTGATATTTCTTGGCAAATCTTTAAATTTTCTTCAAATTTGACACTCACTTTTAAATCTAGAACAAGTTTTAAGTGATTTTCTGATCCGAAATAATTATAAAAAATTCGCAAACTGTCCGCTTCTATGTTAGCGATATGCATTCTCTCAGAGTAGCTTGCTTCGGACTAAACAAACCTTTTTTAAAAGCTGTCAATTGATATTTCTTGGCAAATCTTTAAATTTTCTTCAAATTTGACACTCACTTTTAAATCTAGAACAAATTTTAAGCGATTTTCTGATCTCAAATAATTATAAAAAATTCGCGAAAAGTCCGCTTCTATGTTAGCGATATACATTCTCTCAGCGTAGCTTGCTTCGGACTAAACAAACCTTTTTTAAAAGCTGTCAATTGATATTTCTTGGCAAATCTTTAAATTTTCTTCAAATTTGACACTCACTTTTAAATCTAGAACAAATTTTAAGCGATTTTCTGATCTCAAATAATTATAAAAAATTCGCGAAAAGTCCGCTTCTATGTTAGCGATATACATTCTCTCAGAGTAGCTTGCTTCGGACTAAACAAACCTTTTTTAAAAGCTGTCAATTGATATTTCTTGGCAAATCTTTAAATTTTCTTCAAATTTGACACTCACTTTTAAATCTAGAACAAATTTTAAGCGATTTTCTGATCTCAAATAATTATAAAAAATTCGCGAAAAGTCCGCTTCTATGTTAGCGATATACATTCTCTCAGAGTAGCTTGCTTCGGACTAAACAAACCTTTTTTAAAAGCTGTCAATTGATATTTCTTGGCAAATCTTTAAATTTTCTTCAAATTTGACACTCACTTTTAAATCTAGAACAAGTTTTAAGTGATTTTCTGATCTCAAATAATTATAAAAATTTCGCAAACTGTCCGCTTCTATGTTAACGATATACATTCTCTCAGAGTACCTTGCTTCGGACTAAACAAACCTTCTTAAAAAGCTGTCAATTGATATTTCTTGGCATATCTTTATATTTTCCTTTATATTGACGTTCACTTTTTAATCAAAAATAAGTTTCAAACGATTTCCTCATTGTAAATAATTATAAAAAATTCTTAGATTGCCGGCCTCTATGTTAGCGATATATATGCTATCAATGTAATTTTTTTCGGATTAAACAAACCTTTTTTAACCAAACCAGACTAAACAAAATTTGATGGTAATTTTTAAAGGTTAATAAGTAACAGATCTCATTTTGTGAGCAAGAAATAAAAAAAAATTTCATTCAGGAAATTCAAGTATTGACGTTATTGATTAAAACACTGTTGAATTGATTTAATTTAGATTATGTTTTAAATTAAAATGCCATTACACATGCGTTTTAGAGGAAAAAATATCATTTGATAGTCATAATAAATTTAAAATTTAGTTGACGGTATTGAGTTCGAGTTGCCAGTTCGATTTTTTATTATTAATTAATGAAAATAGATAATTTACTAATTCGTATACTTCGACTATACAAAATAGGTTTCATTGCAGGTTAATTCGAATGAAATATAAGGATATTAATTCCATATAATTAATTCTGTGTTATTTAAAATCTTGGGCAAACATAATTCTTCGTATTATACAAAAGAGTATCATGATCTTAAGGCATTGCATTTATAGAGAATTTCTTATTGTTGAATCAGAGTTAATGTTTATGACTGAATGAAATTTGTTTTATACTTTGATGTTACTTCTTGCAACACGAGATAATTAGCACAACAAACAAAACAAAAAAAAGTTAGGCATTAAAAGGTTAAAGCCTTTGTTACAAAAATTGTGATGAAGGCCTGATAGGAATTAAAATTACCCTAAGGCAAAATACGGTTTTCAATGCCCAGTAATTGTCTTTTTTTTTAAGCGAGTTTTTTCTTTAAAAAAATAATTATTCCAATCAGCTTTTTTGATACAACGAAAATTCTGTTAGAGCTTTTACCACCAACACACTCATATGAAAGTAAGCATGTTCATATTTTAAACATGTTAAAATGACCAATGAATTTTTTTTACACTAC